GGCAGCGATGCCCTTTTTCCGGTTCCAGCTCGACCCGAAACAGAGTCACACACGGGGACACTTCTTTTATTCTCTCCTCAAGCCAGCTTCAGGCATAGCAATGCGGGTTTGTCCCTCTCCGCCCCGCAGCTGGTTGCTGGGTGCGAAAGGGTGGCCGGGATTGGTGCCCTCGCGTTACTGGAACAGCTTATACCGCTCTTATGAAAATGAGTGAGTCGGGAAGCTGGGGAATGGACCGCTGTCCATAAATTGCTCTTCTCCACTCGGGCACAATTGCGTAACACAAATGCACGGAAATTAGATCGTGGTTCCCCCCGGACGCGAGAAGTAGGCCAAGGCAGTTATAGATAAAACCGCAGCAGCCGGTACGAAAGCCTGAAGAGGGTAAAGCCCCAGCTGCACACCGACTGTTGTCCTCTTGTGCTCTGCAGATATCTGAACCAAATGAGTTCGACATCATGCTTGTAATGCCAGTTGCAAGACTTCAGCTGGATGAATGTGATGACACCGGGGCTTATTATTACCTAACATTCAAAAGAAATCCAAAAGAAAAGTATTTGCTGAGATTTTTAGATGAAGATGGAAAATTATCAGCCTTTAAAATGCTTCAAGCCCTAAGGGAAATTATTAAACAAGAAGTAAAAAACATTAAAGGTAAGGACTGAGAGAAGAATGTGGGTGTCAGGAGGATGGGGCCAGACTCTTCTCAGTGGTGCCCAGCAACAGGACAAGGGGCAATGGGCACTATCTGAAGCACAGGAAGTTCCATCCCAGAGGGTTTGTGGAGTCTCTTTCTCTGGAGATATTCAAGCCCCGCCTGGACAAGGTCCTGTGCAGCCTGCTGTAGGTGACGCTGCTTGGGCAGGGGGGTTGGACTAGATGACCCCCAGAGGTCCCTTCCAACTCCTACCGTTCTGTGATTCTGTGAAGAAGCTTCACCTAGGAGTGCCAAAAATCCAATTACGTTGCACGTATGCTTTGCCCTGTCATTAACAAAATGTGCTTTCCCCCTGACCCCGTCAGCTGTCTGTTGGCGGCAGCTGTAACCCCTCCTGCCCCCGGTACCTCAGGTCTGCCCTGGTGCCGAGAACCACCACAAATACATCAGAGCCAGTCATATCACGTGATTAACCCACTGCTCCACTATGCAATCCTCTTTCTGATGAAAATAATGAATATTAAGGGTTCTGTCACACACTTGGTACTTCCTACATGACCTACCTATTTTGAATTTATCATCTGCCATACACAAAGAGCCATTTGCTGAACTGGTAGCAAAAGGAAGAGCTTTCTTCTATATGTTACCTGGTATTTTATATTAATCTATATAGAAAACCTCCCCTTTTAGAGTGCTCTCTTTCTCCAAAGCCTTCAAAAACATCGTGGCCAAATCTCTTTTAAGTCTCAGTGTTTTCAAGAGTGAGGCTGTTCACTGGAAAACATGACTGTATGTCTGATTCTGTAGACATAGTACATCAAGCAAACGCAGCAGTTCAAGAAGAGTGTTGCTTATTCCATAAGAACTCCTCAACAGGCCTTCTTAACATTTCATTTAAAATCCATATCCTGTAGGTTAAAGAGCCAGTCACTGAACCCAGCTATTTATTTTGGTTATTATAAATTCCTCTTACATAAAAACCTGAACATTCTTAACAAAAAAAAAGTTTCTAATATCTAAATATATACATGAAAAAAATCAATTTCTTCTTTTTGTTACTAGATGTGGAAGTAACTGTGAAAAGGAAAAAGGCTGGAAGCCCTGCAATAACTCTTCAGATCAAACACCCTTCAGCAGAAATCTCAGTGGACATCATCTTGACTTTGGAAGTTCAGCAGAGCTGGCCGCCCAGCACACAGGATGGCCTCAAAATTGAACAGTGGCTGGGAAGAAAAGTCAGGAGAGACTTCAGAAATAAATCAATTTATTTAGTAGCCAAACAAAACAAAAGAGAAAAGGTTCTAAGAGGTACCTCAAATACAGCCAATAAGTCTAAATTATGTCTTCTCTACAACTTACAAGTGCTATAAAGAGTATCCAGATTCTGTTCAGTATTCTGCCTTCGAGGTACAGATCTTGATCTTATCCTGGATAGATCCAGATCAAAGACAATTGTAATCCCTCTTTAAAGCATCAGGTTTGTGACACTGCTTGTCCTGTACCTAAAGACAAAATGCTCTGCCAGGCTGTATACTAACCACTCCTAAGAGCATTATGTTAAATCTGCTGAGTCAGGCACACCAATACGGGCCTTTCCTGTGCTAGTGCTGTACTTAACAGCGACATCCTCTCCCTTGCTTTCTAAAGGGGGGGTGGGGGTGAAGGTGATTTTTACAAAAGGGAGGGAGCATCCCTGGAAGCAGGACTGTATACGCAAGTTACACACTTCCCCAGGAAGTTCTTCTCTAGCAAGACACATTATTTCTCATTGAACTCTGGTATGACTACAATGTACATTTTTTTCTCCAGAGCACTCTCACCCCAAGCCTCCACTAGCTTGTAGAAACATCCCTGCTCGTCACTGCATTATGAGAACAGATGATTTCCGGAAAAACAGTTCAGGCAATCTGTTTTGTTGATTTTTTTTTAATTAGGTGTTTTTTTTTAATTAGTAGACCCATCGTAATACCAAGTAAATCATTACTGCTCTACCAGGCTGTCTCTTCCTGTGAAAATTAAATGTGTAACTGAACCAAACAGGCAAGGGAAACAGTCTAACTTATATAAGGAAGACAAAAATGCTTGCTGTTTTTTTTTAAAAATAGTGGGTTGAGCTAAGTTAATCATTGTTTTCAGAAACATTACCAGAAGAACACAAATAAACGCTTCAGAACAGTCACCTTACCAGAGACAAACTCACAAGCCTACTACTTGCACAAAGAAATTGAAACCAACAGTGAAGATTTTTTTATTCTAAACCAGAATGGTGACGCAGATAATACAGAACAGAAATTCAAAAGTAGCAGATTTCTGTGAGTAGTGCAATTCCCCAAATCACGTTCAACAAATGCAGGAAAGTTTAAGCTTAATTTTCAAGTAAATCCTAACATCCTTAAGAATATAGTTAAAGTATCCAAACAATTAACGTTGTCCTGTACTAATAAGATCCTAATTGTCTTTGTGTGGAGCAGGTAGGGAATTGAGGCAAAATTAACTAATTATTGTTATTTTTTAGTTTAAGTGCAAAGAAATTGCTGATGTTTAAAATGAAATCAATTATAAGGTGTGGTTTTTTTCCCCCCACCAAGTTACAGGCACAGGTACTTACTGCTGTGTAACCATTTAACAATCTTGTACTCAACTTTAGGGAACACCTGGCGACTCTCTTTCTCGCATATCGAGAAGGCCATGATCAACAACCACGGCAGCTCAAAGACATGCTGTGAATCCGACGGACCGAAGTGCTGTAGGTTGGTATTTCACATGAATATTTTACTTCAAGTCTGTGTGAGCCATGCTAGCGCCGTTTCAGTTTAACTTTTAAGAATTTGATCTAATTACTCATAAATAGGGAGCACAAATAATTCTTTTAGGCATCACTGTTCTACAGCACTACAACATTGCATGTACTTGCTGAACTTGCATTTACTCAGCGAGCTGTGGAAACAAACTACATTGCAGGCTGACACTACAGACTTGCCTTAGAAAGCAGAAAGATGGGACTTGTTAAAACAATCTTTCCCAAACTCAATCCTGTTTAGAAGGACCAGCGTTGAAGTCTGATGACTCCGCCTTCTGAGCTTTGGGAGCAAAATCACACTTTGCACCAAGGCACTTTCTAAAACGATGGTGAGGAAAAAACCTGCTGAATGGAATCAGGATGAATAAATGTGATTTTTGTCTCCAATAAAAACTGGTTTCAACATTTCTTTGAAGAGGAAAAAAACCGACATGAGGTACAGAACCTCCTTAATGGCAAACCAACTTCTTAGTTTACTTAATTACATCTTACACTGAATCAAGAAAGTCACCAGAGAACTAATGCATAATTCGTTGTTTTTGCTTTATGGATATTATCTGACATGCTATGCCCCTACGAAGCAGCGTATTAAACTATATATATACACCTCTTCCTCTTGTGGTGCACCACGGGAAGGTAGTGGCATTTCCTTCAGTGTAAATCCAAGCCAAAAAGGGCAGGTTTAATCTTAAATTCATGCTCCATCCAAGCTCAAGTTGCAGTGGTTAGCAGCTGTGAGACCGTACCGTGTAAGCACGCTGCGGACCAACGCTTTGATTTCTGCGTGCTGTGGCTACCAGTGGAAGTGGTGCATTCACAAGAACGATTGTTTAAAGTAGGAATCCTTCACTGCTAGGATCTGACCTCGTAAACGTCGAGGATTATCCAGCCTCTTGCTGCACTTCTGTTCAGATTTTATTCAAAACATTATTGAAAATGTTCTAGAAGAGTAAGAACATTTTTATTGCTTTCATGAATAATGTGTATTTAAATAACTAGAATACATATTTAGAACTATTTAGAAAGCACCTAATAAATTCTTATTTATTTAACAGGAAAGGCTGTCTCAAGCTTCTGAAGTATCTTCTAGAGCAACTTAAAATGAAACATGCAAAAGAATTGGAAAAGTTCTGTTCATATCATGCCAAAACTGCTTTTTTCCACTCGTGTGTCATGTGGCCAGATGACACAGACTGGCATTTGGGAGACCTGGATCATTGCTTTCAGAAATATCTGGGCTATTTTCTGGACTGCCTGCAAAAGTGTCAGCTGCCACACTTTTTTATTCCCCAATACAACTTGCTCAGCCTGGAAGATAAAGCAAGCAGTGATTTCCTTTCAAGACAAATAAACTATGAACTGAACAACAGATTCCCAATATTTCAGGAGAAATATTAAAAAACATCATTTACAAAACTGTCTAATTGTGTAGAGTTGCATATTTAAAACCAGAAGTTCTGCAACTTAAGTGACTCCTCAGTAGTCTGGTACTACGAAGCCCAAAACAAAATCAAGAACACTAAGAGAAAATTGTGTATTTCAGTCATGCTGCTTTGCGGTATTTTCTTAAAAGAAATAGGATGTTTTAAGCAATATTTATCTTCCCTTTCTAAGTCTAGGTGTCACCTGCAAAATATCCTCAAGGTATACTAAGAACATACAGAAGAATTTGCAATAGTTAATTTCCCACACGTAGTTTCTACAATTCCAAATATGAAGGCATCAATGACTGGGCAGACGACAATTTAATTTTAAATGAAAATCCACTAAGGAATATCTAAAATACACTCTTGCTTTCAAAAGAAAAAAAAAAGACCAAACTGACACAAACCAGAACAACTTCTCCAGATCACTGGGTGGATGAAGACCTTTTGCAGAGGACAATCACCAGCAACAGTGAGCAGACAGAAACTGTGGTATCAAAATACGAAGTTCCTGAAGTAACTTCTCTTTTCCGAGTATTCAGAATTGCTTTGGAAATTAGTCTTTTCACTGGACCTTGGACAGGAAGAGATTATTATCCAATGTGCTGCAACAGAGTAAAAGTTATTGTGCCAGTAAGCACACACATGACCAATCCTGTAGAAAGAAATGTATCTTCAACTCATATCAAGGACGAAGTCTCTATGTGAAAGGTTAGAATCATAGAATGGTTTGGGTTGGAAGGGACCTTAAAGATCATCTAATTCCAACCCCCCTACCTTGGGAGGGGACACCTTGCACTAGACCAGGTTCCCCAAAGCCCCGTCCAACCTGACCTGGAACACTGCCAGGGAGGGGGCAGCCACAGCTTCTCTGGGCAACCTGTGCCAGTGCCTCACCACCCTCAGAGTAAAGAATTTCTTCCTTATGTGTGATCTAAATCTACCCTCTTTCAGTTTAAAGCCATTACACGTTGTTATCAAAACCAAAATGCAGCATGAATCTGACATTCTTGGAATCACAATTCAGCTCAATTTTTCTTAGGTTGAAGAGGATGGGTGTTAGGAAAAAATAAAAATTGTAATATTTCCTATCACTAAAATTGTGCAGGTGATAAATACACAGCATTTGGGAACGGCTGTGCTGTAAGTAAATACGTATTTCGCTTCTTCTTAAAGAAGCCATGGGAAGTCTGTATTTTTAGCCTACTTTTTGAAGGCAAAATAACCTACTGGCTTAAATAATGCCCAGATTTCACCTCAATTATGAGCAAATTAAAAAAGAGGGAAGGCCAGAAGTACATTTAGAGAATGCTTTTAATAAAATACTCTCATCTCACTAGACTGAGTTTATTAGTTTTTCATTTACTTATGACACATGAGTAAACACAAGTTCAGACCTAGCATCAAATGAATAGCTCTTTCCCATACAACTTCCAAAGAGTGAAAACATACCCCATCATCATTAGCAATCTGTGTGACAGAACCTGACATCCGAATGTAAAATTTGAATCGACCTTATCTGAAAGAAATACCTTCAAATGTATTTTTAATTCCTGAATTTGTTAACATTGCCTTAGTGAACTCTGTTCTTCTTCCTTAAGCTAGAAAGTTATATCCATGAGAACAAAAGTAGAAGCTGTTTTTCCTCCAGTTAGCCATGAACACATGTTTCTTGTTATGCCCTCCTCCAGCAGGATGAAATGCAGACTTCTCTCAAAAAAAGCCTGAGACACAAGACTTAACAAAAATGACTTTCAATATTAAGTTTTAAAATGAAAAAAACGAAAAAAACCCCTTGCTTCAGCAAACATTATTACTGCAAACAGAGCAGTTCCTAAATAACTAAGTTATCTTTGGAAACAATTCTGCATGCCACTGGCAGGTGTGGCGTATCAATGCAAACATACAGTATTCTGGAGCCACACTGACAAACATTGCTTACATTCGCTAATCCAGTTCTCTGAAAATAAAAGGAAAAATTATCTTTTACAGTCCTACATATTAATACTGCATCAAAATCACAAAACCCACAACATGTTTATAACCAGTAGTTAAGTGCTTTAGAAGTAATGCACATCACACAAGAAAAAATAATGAAATTAATTTTTCTTAAGCAAAAATACTGCCCGAGCGCAAAACAATATTTATTTCTATATAAAGTTATTTCAGTTTTCTTTTCTAAGCCATGTTTCTAAATGTATTTTGTTTAAGTGGGACAGGTACAGAAAACAATCAACCAAGAAAAGAAACTTCTAAATTCAAGCCCATAGATGCTAACACTGACTATAATCACTTACTTTGTTCCAGTAACTTCAAGGGATTAGTTATTTTGAGGGCTTTCTCGGAGGTCTTCGCATATCCTTTTCCATTTCTTTTCTGATTTGAAATTGTTTGTATCTTTCTGCCATTGCAATAAGCTCACTAGGAACTACCTGATAAGGAAGCAGCACAAGAACAAGGTCAGGTTTAAATAAATCTAAACTTCCTGACTCTGCTTTACATAAATGCCATTGATTTGTGTGTTCCCAAACTTGATTTTGTTACTCATCTGGCTCCTGTCACTTCGCAGATCTTTTTTTTTTTTTGGTAGAGACACGCAGATAAATCTTTTTACATAAAATTATACTGAAATATACTGAAAAATAACCAGGACAGTGTCCCTAGATTTTCAAGTACATATGTATGCTAGTATCACCACATCTGATGACAACATATAACCAGCTAATTAAAGCATTTGCATTTCAGATAGAAATGTACCTTTCAGTGATAATGAACAGCTGGAAAAAATGCCCAATGCCACTAAAAGGTGATACCATACTATATATATAAATGTATTTGAATATCACACTAGTATGATTAATATTAAATTCCTTTTGGAAGTTTTAGGGGCCTCTGAAGAGAAACTTTGGTACTTAAAGCACTGCCACAGGGAGGGTTCTCACACGGATAAAACAAAGCTAAAAGCAAGAAAAGAAGGGCAGGAGAAAGCCGTCAGTTCTCCCACTACTGGTAGTTCACAAGAGCCTCTTACCAAGATCCACGGTGCTTTCTGGCATGCTTGTAATTATGTGGAAAAGGAGGTGAACAGTATCATCAGCACACTTTGTCACCTCAGAGTTCCTCATGCTCATGAAGACTGAGGCCAGATGCACAGAATTGCAGACAGACTTTATTAGGTTGGGTGACACTGATCATTGAATGAAAAAAAAAACAAACCCAAATACTATTCTTATAAATTATGGAACAAAGGCAGTGTCCAACAAGCTTTCTTAAACCAGGTCAGGCATAATGCGGACATTAATGCAACATTTACCGCAAAAAGCAGTATGGGTGACTACTATCAGAAGAGGTTTTAGATCACTAATTATCAAAACCAGCCTGCTTCAACAACCTGCTACTGCACATAGCCACGCAGCAGGTAGAAGATATCCAGTCCAGAATCAGCTTCCTGATCAGAGTGAGGAGCAAGCTACTGCAGCGCTTGTGAGCACGGTATTAACGTGATTGCTCAGTCTCCGTGGTTTGTCCCTCCGTAAGCGGCACACACACAGTGCAAACAGTACAGTACAAACAAATCTAAATACTGTTAAGTCTCCTTAGTAATGCCTAGACCTGCCAATGTTTGAACAGGTGAAGAATGCAGCCAGGACAACTGGCCTGGTGCAGCAGGAAGGTGTATTCCTCCAGTTCCAACTTCTTTTGACCGGCTTTATAATTCAGAATGCTTGCCATTTGCGATAAGCAACTATTCTTAAGCTGGCATGAGTATCAGCTCGCTAGTACGTATTTTATGTGTTGAATTGCTTTTACTGGTACACAACTGCCCTGGCTGTCAGGAGTCCACAGAACAGGATGCCTACGGAACAGTCTATTCTGACAAAGTTTTAGACATTGTTTAAAAATAAAGTGAAAAATGATGCATCTCTCCAGCTGAAATTCACTACAGACTTGTACCAACAGAGCCAGAAGTAATGAGACAAAGTTAGTTTTCAGTTGAAACACTGGATGATTTTCTTCCTCAGTATCAGATCAGATCCTCTGCTACAGTGTGAAACTGGATTTATTCCAACTAAAATTGCAACATCTTCTTGTAAGAGTGCTTTTTAAGCAGGCACAAGGAAAGAGTTTTTTTAAGAAGACAGGAAATGGAACATAAAAATCTCAGTGAGGTAATAGCCAGCATCTAGTGGTTTGTTGAAAGCTTTACACGAACAATCTGTGTATCTGCTAAACATACAAAGTAGGTATGATAGTCCAAATGAGAAAACAGAAAAGGATAAAGATGCCATAATTTATATGTAACACTCTTCTTGGCATTACAGAGATCAGTGTTTTTTCCACCCAGTTCCCTGATAAAACTGTCCATGCTTCTTAATAAGCTTATATATAAAGATCCCTGCAGCATGATACAGAAATCTTTCTGTTGTACCTGTTTTTCTCTAGCGACATTATCTGTATATTCAAAATCATGGAAAACATCTGGCTAACAAATGCACTTTACCTGTTTTGAAACCGAATATTCTGAACCTTCAGACCATGTATTCAGTTGCTCTCCTTCCCTTTTATGTGATGCTTTAAAACTGAAGCAATTATATTTTCACTGTCATGAGGAAAACAACCCCAAACACCTGCCTGTATGGATACTTCCCTTCTATCAGCTGTAACTAAAAGTTTGAGAATAATGTTGTGACTAACAGTTACCCTTGAAAGTAAGGATTCAGAGATGCTCTTTTCTCCTCTAAGCTCAGAGACCCACTCCCAGCTGGACTATCACACATTAAAAAAAGTTTGGGAACTTCAGTCTGCAGCAGGTGACAAAGCATGGACGGCAACGGCTGACTCAGAATGCAGAACAAGGTACCTCTAAGTGATATTTAAGTGACTTCAAAGTATCATTACTGCTTACATCTCTCACATTTGCAAAAAAAAAAAAAAAAATCCAAAAAACAAAAAAAAGAAACACACAAATCCCAAAACACTACAAAAACCGAACACACAACACCCCCCCACCTCACCCCCAACCTGCAACTTTACGAAATTATTAGGGGACAACTTGTGTGTGGTTTGTTTTATTTTTTTATTATTACTTTCCTCCCTCAAAAGCATCTTGCCAGGTTTGCATTAAGTGGCACAACATCTTTCAAAGACGAGTTGTAAAACAGAAGATTTAGGTGAAGTTCTAACTCAGGGTTTAAAGTTTGAGTAAGTGTCCACAATAACAACCACAGGTCCTAGGTCATAGCAATTTAGTTTGTACTCATCTAGCTCACCCCCCCATCGCCCCCCCCCCCCAAAAAAAGAAATTTTTTTAAATTTCAACTCGAGTCAGGGCACAAACTGAGGGTTTGCTATCAGTCAGACAACATACTGTTTCTTGCCACAGGAATAAACAACAATGTAATTGTCTCTGGCATCTCAGATATGGTAGCAACAAAAAAAAATGTTGCTTTAAAATAAAGAAACAAATCACATTCCAGTTGTATTTCCCATACTATTTACAAACACCCATAAGAAAGATAGCTTGGAAAAGTGCATGCAGATATCACAACTGTCAGATATAATAAACTGATAGGTAGTTGAGCTTCTTTTGATATAAATATTGTAAATATTTACACTGTCAAACAAGAATATTGGCACATGCATGCAGAAGTGAAATACAAATGGAATAAAATACTATGAAATAAAATAGATCCTACAATTCCTCTGCAGATCTCTATGTGCACGTATCTTTGTTACTTTTTCTTTGGACACAGAAGGCTTTGATTAAAGTTCCCAGTTCTTTTCTGGGACTCATCTGCAAGGTAAAATACAGCTAAGAACATCCAGGACAAGAAAGACTTAAGTGCCCATTTTTTTGCCCGAGACACTACAAACACTCACTAAGAAAGGTCTACATAGGGTTAGACCTTCATGAACTGTTTCAGGTGGTAACCCAGAATCAATATAAATCTTACCCAGTAAGATGTATTCTTACTTGGTTTGCTCTTTCCAGAATTTCAATCAGCTCAGATGCAAACCTCCAATCTCTCTTAGTGACAAGCGTTACTGCCTCCCCAGTACGTCTAAACAAGGAATGAAATAACCGTTGATCTTCCAAACGACTGCCGCTAGGCTTTTCCTACTGATCTACACAGAAATCATTTGTACTACAGGCAATACTACTGCACTGGTAGATAAAACTGTCTTGAGTATTTACTACACACATGACAGAAAGCAACTTTTCTAAAGATCAGAATATGGCACCTAATTCACCTACAATGGAGCAAAGGCACAACTAATTTAGACTTTTAGACAATAAACCTAGTACAAAGACAACGTATTTAAGTATTGAGACATACATTCATATCATGATTAAAACAAACACATACACAAGAAAAAGCCCACTTGTGCCAACCTGCGAAAGCAGCATTCAGAAGTCCTAACACTAAACTACACCACTATGACAGGCTGCAAACTTTTAATCTATGTATGTTTTTTCCCAATGGGCTGTCTAGGAAACTAAACAACTCCGTGGCTCACAAAGAGACAAGCAAGGAAGTGACATTTCAGAGTATCTATGCAGAAGTTGTTTTGAACTGTAATTCTTCCCCACATTTAAACCAGCTTTCAAACATCCCTCATTCCCATCCACTTCAATGAAGTAACAGAAAAGTGGAAAACTTGTTTGCCTGAAATTTAACAGTGAACCAATTTCAAAACATAAAGCAGTGTGTTATTATCTAAAACACACTTTGATAGACTCTGGAATCTTCACTCCCCCACTCCACATCACCTGCAGCTCTAGCATTTGACATGAGAAACACCTGTGAAGTGCCCAAGTACTGACAATATGTTAGTATTGTCTTGGAAACACTTACCCTGCTCTTCCAGTACGACCTACTCTATGAACATATTCTTCAATGTTGCGAGGGAAGTCAAAGTTAAAAACATGAGTTATATCATGCACATCGAGTCCACGGGATGCTAAGTCAGTAGCTACCAGTATTCTGACTTTGCCTAAAAGAAGCAAAACAAATAATGGGAGTTTATGGAATAATAAAATATACTCCAGTCTATTGGTTTTCTAGTGTGTAATGCACTTATTCTTAACACATAAAGGAAAAAAATGCTTGTTTCACATCACACTGAGTTAGCTTCAAATACAAGGTGGCAAGTAAGCACTCAAAATGTCATTTTACTATTATTTGTGTTTCACAAGTAGAACAGCAGGGTGCAGGAGAAGCAAGAAACATGCCTAGCTGATATAAAGAGTCTGTGAAAAGAACAGAAACTTCAACAACTGTATTCTCAGCTGGCATCCTTATCATAGGCCTAGTCTTTTTTTTATTAGCATATGATCACCTAACCCCAGAGTAATACCCTACTGGCATAACCAAGAGCAGAACTGTTGCACTGAATGCACAATCATTTACCATTCTGCAGACTAACACAATATTGACTTTGCCACAGAGTTCAAAAATAAAACAAGCTTTAAATTATTTAACTCTGACATTCCAAATTTTATTGACAAGCAATCTCTTTTTGTTTGCCTTTTTTTGTTTGTTTGTCAAATTAACAAAGTAAACACAACAGATCTCTAATATTTTCATTTCTATGGCACTTACAAATAGGTGAAGTTCTGCACATGACAAGCTTTAAAAACCTGGGCTAACAAACTAGTACTTAGGTACAAACGTACCTTTCTTGAAGTCATCTAAAGCCTGTTCTCGATCACACTGTTCCCTGTTACCATGAAGTGACTGTACTGGAACTCCTTGGAGACTAAAGTCGCTTGCTAAGTCATCAGCTCTAGGATGAAATAAAACAATGGTTCTTAAAAAGAAAAAAAACCCACAAACATGCAGCATCTAGATTTAGATCCAAAAGATAATAACGTGACAACAAAAGCTAAAAGTGTGCCTAAGGGCAAAAGCCCACCTAGGTCAGCTGAAATGAATTATAAAACAGTACAAAAGCAAGACTATTCCCCACTTAAATGTTTGCTTCTATTTACATATAAGATAAATAATGAATGATTTTTGTGTTGTTCACTCAAAAAGCTCAGCTACAGTCCAATGACCACCACCCCACCCCCCCCATATCAGGTCTTGTATGCACCAGCATAGGCAAGTAAACAGTACACAACATTAATGTGTCCCTGGGAATCTTAACATCTACTTTAACTACATGAAATTGAAATTTACCACCACCGTTAATGATATTAAAAAGGATACAAGCTACCAGACAATCTGGATGAATAAATAAATAAATAAAAATACCGCTAACACCAGCACATTGCTCACAAGAGCTGTTACACCTGGTAATTACTACATGAACTAAGAAACTATCCAGTATTTGTTAGTCAAAAAGGAACAGCTGTAATACTGTGAAGTGATTACATACGTAAGTTTTTTCCCCACAAACATGATGACCTTATCTTCTGGCTTCATAGAGTCAATGAAGTCTTGCATGAAAGCTCTCTTTTCCTCCTCAGCAATAACAACAACTCTCTGTTCTACTGTATTTACTGCCTGTTAAACAGCAAAAACGGATGTTAAGTAGAAACAGAATTGAATAATATTTTTCCTGTTAATTCCCATATTATGGTATTGTAAAACTAGTAATATGATACAATGAAAAACTATTTCAAAACCAAAATATACATCAGTCTGGGGCTCAAACAATGCAGATGTATTTATTGTTTCCTAGTTGCTTTAGGAGAACAGTAAAAATTTATCTTTGCAAAATCATATGGTACAGATCAGCAGACTAGTGAGGCGAAATAAATATTCCTAATATTAGTGAAAATCATCTTGAAGTACTTTCAGTATATTTTATGTTAATCCAGAGGAAGCTGGAACTATGTCAGTCTTACTTGAAAGAACAAGCTTTTAAAGAAGAGTCTGTAATCTATTTGAAATGATCAGTTCTGTGCAGTTCTTCCAACAACAGTTCATTAACAAAAACATTACTCCATTACATCTGAAGGTCGCCATAGAATGCCTAAGGTACACTACGTAAGTAATACAAAGGTCTAGACATTCTCATGGCGCTGCACCATAATCTTGTGGTAAGAGCTGAAGAATGAATCAAGTACACAGAAAGATACTCTCTCCACATGGGAATGCTTCTCCCTCCCTTCCCCCCAGAGGTCACATCTGCAGTTAAGAGAAGCTCCTATAAAAGAGATGAACGCATTAGACGAGAGCTACAACAGCAGCCGATGTCTTTCAAATTCCAATCCTCTCTCTGACAAGTAGTGCCCTTCAACAAATGCATAGCTCTGAAACAGAATAATTAAAAGTGTATTTTCCCCCTATTTCTAACTAAAAGTGTATTAGATACCAAGTTTCTTCATTCGCTGTCACTGAAATACGGGAACTGAAGATTTCACAATTTAAGAAACAAACTCAAAGCAATCTCCAGACCAGGATGTGGAGATCTTGGAAGAACTACTATTTCTGTAAATTCTGCCGGCATTGAAGCCAGCTACACACAGCTGCACAGGCATGACAAGTATGCAGCTACTTATATAAACTAGGAGTTTTGGACTTCAAAGACAGTTCTTAATCTAAAATACAAGTGCCCTCCAAGAGTCTAGCAGAGAGCTTCCACTCTCTTTGAGAAAGCAGCAGTTGAGAAACACAGACCCATATAAGCATTCGCATGCATTAGAAAGACCTTCAGAAGGAAAAGTGAGGAAGGAACAAGAACTTGCTGAACAGAAGTAAAGGCTGCAAAAACAAGGGTTCAGGCAAGAACACATGGCACAGAAGTACGACATTCAAACTTAAGTTTGATTGATATTTATTGCTTGTGGTGTCTTCTACTGAAGATCTAGGACTTCAAGATCCTGTTACAGAAACACAAGAACAAAGTTCTCCTCTACTTGCCTTTTTTTAGTTCTTTCTAAGCTCTTAAAGAAGCTTTAAAAGAATAATATGGAGTTGTTTTTTGAAGATTTGGATTGATTTTAAAGTTACATTCATTCACTTACCTATTGTTACCAGCAAGTACTTCCCAGTTTAACTGTATGTTTTTTTCCCAAACAAAAAAAAAGGAAAAAAGAAAAAAGAGCAGAACAACTTACTGCTAAGTCAAGAGTACCAACATACACAATCATAGGATTTTTCAAATAGGATTTTGCTAGGCGACGAACACCATCAGGCCAAGTAGCACTATACAGGAAGTAAAGAGGAAAACAAACACATGAGAATAGAGTGCAAAATCTTCTCCAGTTCATTATTTTCATCACGTTCTTCTTTATTTTCTTTCTTGTAAGTCAGTGAAACGCTTGAGTAAGCAACAACAGTAGTGAGCTTATAAAACATTCAGGAATAATCTGAAGAAGCTATTAGTAAACAGCACTCAAGCTTTAAAGATAACTTTCTAGGTTAAAAGTACAGGCAACTGTTCCAGAGCTCTTCTAAAGAAGCCAAAAGTGAGTTTAATAGTTCAATGATGCCTAATAAGCAAGCTTCTAGTCTGTTTTTAGCTCTAAAACAATAGCTCCAATGCAAAATACGGTAACAAAAAAAATAGTTATGATATTCTATTGTAAAGCTCCAAAAATGTGCATAATTTCAAAATTAATCCAGGTACGGACTAGCACAGATACGGATCAGAAGGTTAGGATATATGTTTGGTCCCAGATGGAGAAGTTAAATATGGCATTTGAAATTGATATGGCAAATTCTAGTACTCCCAGGACACCTTCCGTTTTGAAAAGAACTCCGTTGTTTTTATAGCTCATGTATAAAGGTTAAGGAATGAAAATAAATTTGTCAAATAACTTAAGGACTGACTAGACAGAATTAGAAAGAAAACTGATGCCACTCCCATTTACGCTAGTAGAAGTCTTAATAAAACTGACAGATCTGTTTTGAAGTTAACTTGTTCAATAACCTTACCTTTACAGTGTTTAAGTACTGAGCACTATTATGTTTCCATACCTCGTCATAACAGTTTGTCTATCAGGCCGCACATCTATTAGGATCTTCATTATCTGAGGTTCAAATCCCATATCCAACATTCTGTCAGCCTCATCTAAAACCTGCTCAGAACAAGGTTGTTTATTGTGTCTATTTCCTTAGATGATAAGAGTTTCAGCAAGACATCACATAGCAGACCATTTCAATGGTAACAATTTTAATTGCAGAATCTGCTCCATAATGTATTGCAAAACCTGTTCAACTTCTATTTCACCTCTTCAACTTCCTTGAAGCTTTTTCATTTAGTAATACATTTGAGGGCAGAACAAGAAAATCCACAGCATCTTTACGAGCACTTACAGTCAACGAAGAGGAAACAACTCTTTGTTTGTTTGAACTATAATTCGGTTGGTGCCTAAAACTAAGCACAGAACTAATAAAACCCCAACAAAACCAACACAATTTCAGTAAGAAATTTCTGGTAATTTGAAGGGGAAATCTCATTTGTATCTTGCAAGGGATCTCATACCAGAACAAGATATCAGTTATCAGTTTAGTTCCTCATTAGAAGTAGGAAAAAAGCCAGACTACATTCTGTCTGGCTCATGCTAGGACACTGCAGAAATCCCAGAGGTCAAACTTGTTTCATCTGGTAAAAAAAAAAACAAAAGAGAACAAGGGAGCTGAAGGTCTGAGTACAACTATTTGGAACTGATCTTTTTTCTAATATACAAGCACACTTGTGAATGTTTTCAGAGTCTCATACAAAGGAAGAAGGCTGCCATCCAAGACTCATTTTTCTCCTTTACTTTTCAAATAGAGTTTATATATATAAAGTTATACGGTCTTAAGTATTGACATTTTCTAGTTGCTTATGTAGACACATAAGACTTTGAGGATAATCCCTTTCTACTGTCCTGATCTTGCTGTTCCATTCTTTTCAGATGTTTCAACCTATTAAAGGTTTTCAGTACAATATTTATGTAAATCTCTGAAATAACAAATCATCAGCTGAGAGACAGAAGTCAGTAATTCTGCTTCTTGATTTAATTCTCCTTATTTTCAAAGGACTCATGGAGATTTCATTAACTGCTTGGATTCTAATACAATGGCAAGGCTGAAATACCAGTAATTTTATATATAGAGTTGGTTACTATGCCCCTTTCAGCAGCAGATACTTTCTACACTAGTAAACACGCTGGGAGTTAGCTGGAAAGGGAGAAGAAAGCACATAAGTATGCGTATTAGATGGATCAGAGTAGCTGAAGTTCACTTTCCTTCTTTCTGATAGGTGCTTAACAAAGAATAAAGGCGGTAGTAGAGATTAGATAGATAGCAGCACTATTTTTTCCAAATGCCTCATAGCCAGGTCCTGGTTTATAAACTAAATCTAGCCCTAGTTGACATAATCTTAGGTTTCCTGTTATGTATAGGTATTTATTGTTTGTTAACATTATTCATTTAAGTTCTATTTCTTGGCAAGAAATTCTTACAAGCCAGTTCTTCATGTGAAAATTATTTTCTTTCTTCTGTTTTAAACTAGTTATTGGTAAGTTGCACACTACTTTTTTTTTTTATATTTGAAGAATAAAAGGACTACTTCAATTTACCTTCTATATCCTACTTCACGATTTTTTTTGGTTTTATTTTTTAGTATATTCTTTCTCCTAAATGCTTCCCAATTATTCATGCACAAGTCCAGTCTCCTTACTTCTGCTTTATGAGCATAAGGTCAAATGAAAAAAGCACTCAGATTACTGATGAACGAATACTGATTTACACTGAACACAGCAAAACAGAAGACAATCTTCAAATGACATGTATTGTACACAATCAAAAGGCCATATATGACAGAATTTTCCAGTGTTTCTTCTGAAATCACGACAAACAGCAGCCTATCTTGAGTAAGTTCCTAAAAATCTGAATCAAGACTGCAACTAACTTCATGGTTCTGCCAAATGAGAAGACAAATTCCCTGCCTCCATTTCACCTTGTGTACAGTGTATATTCAAATATAATTAACAGTTTGGTTTTGGGGTTGTTTTTTTTTTGTTTTTTTTTTTAACAATTGTATCCCAGTCTCTGACCTTGGAAGTCCTCTGGGAAACAATTATATCATACCAGCGAACAATACTCTGTGCACTTTGGGAGCATTCACAAGACTTATCAATATCTTTAAATGAAAACCGTAAATGAAGCGCTTCAATGAAGAGCGTTCTTCATCCAAGGTGTTAAAAGTCAAAATTTAATACCCCTCTCTTTTCTCTGAAACAAGGCTGCAAGATTAAATTCTTTGTTGCCTGAAAAATGACAACAAAACTGTGGAAATAGAAAGCATCTTATATGTTAAAAATATACAAGAAACTAAAAGGAAAAACATATTGTAACATTAATTAAAAAAAAGAATTTTGGATGTCCAATTTTTTGTATGGGACCTAAAGAAGTACAGCATTTCCAGAAAGTCTGAGGCATGAGACATTAAACACTTCGCAAAATATCATCCTTGCAGTGGTTTCAAGCTGAAAATATTTAACTCCCAGCAGTACAACAGCAAATATTTTTCTCCTGCTTTACATAATATTTTTCAATTTGATGGCTAATTCTTTTTAGCAATATCATACTATAGGATAACCTGCACATACTGAAACATCTGATTTTATTTTACAAAGCAGTGTGTGCTTGTAGCATGACCATACTTCACCTTGATAGAGAGAGATTACTAATACTCCTGTAGTTCTCAGAAAGCAGTTTTTCAGGCCTTTTTCCCTCCTGCTTAGCAATTACATGTTACTCTTCTATAAGAGGCTACTCTCCTGTCTTCCAACAGCAGTCTGTTTTTCCAGATGGCCAAATTTCTAATGATGCTATACCACCACTGGCCTTGCCAGTAAGCTCATAACTATTAACTAGAATTGGAGCTAACTTGCCACAGCATAATGAGTATTTAACCCTTAGAGGGGAGTGGAGGTGGAGATGAGGAAAAGGAAGCAGGCCAAATTGTCCAACTAGGCAACAAGTCACCAGTTAAATGGACAACTCCAACATAATTTGAATATATGAAAGTATTTTACAAAACAGCAATGGTTTTAAGTATCCAGCACAGCAAAGGGCAAGAATGAAATGACATAAGGATTAATAACAGTGTTTACATGGCTATTTTTTCATTGAGATCAAAAGAAAGTCAGATACCCAAACATTTTAATACCTAACCGTTTGCAACGTTGGTGCTTACCGCACAAGTTCTAATAAGAACTTGAGTCACTGGTAACCTTTAAAAGAACAAGACACCTTGGGAAAGGCATTTCATCCACTAACAACTGATTCTGACAAAGTGAACTTTAAAACAGCAAACCTTACTACTATGAGATAAGAATTTAGCATCTTTAAAAGACTTATTGTGCTAGAAGCCTATTTTATTTTTTTCCTAGGGAATATTGCACATCTGCAATGCAATTATGTTAAGTATGAACCTTCCTTCACCAATGATGTGTTCATACTTAACACCAATCTCAGTGTTAAGATCTATTGTAATTAAGACTTAAAAACTTTAAAGAAAACTTCATTAAAGCTAAGTGCACACTAAATCAACCATTCCCCAACCAGTGCATTACTTATCCCATATCAGCTACTTGCCAAGTATGTTATGGTCTTCAAATTTATGAAGTTGTTCATTTGAAGATCATTCAATCTGCCAGGAGTAGCAATAATGATATCCACACCTTTGGTAACCACATCTATCTGTCCTCTTCGGTCCCCACCACCATATATGCAAATACTGAAAAATAAAATGTTTTACAGAGGCAGTGTATTAAGGTTCAACTAAAGTCAGTCTTTTTCAAATGCATGCCACCATGTTGCTTCACTTGAAAAAGTGTCATCTGGTATTACCAAGAGGAAGGAATACAGTACGCGTGACTGACAGTATCACAGTAAATAATGGACTTAACACTGAATGATACTCCCTCAACAGTTCAGCCATAACTTTCTGCTGAAATTGCAGTGAAAATAAACATGAAAGGAAGGAAGATAGCTATTAAGCAATGAATATGTTTTGGGTTCTTCTGAAAGTATTTACACCAAAAATAGATGACCATATGAAAGAATGCAGGATTTTCTGAACAGTACCATCAAAAGTCAGACATTTTGCTGTTAAAACCATCAATGCACTTGATACGGTATTAGGCTTACACACAAACTTAACATGCTCTGTAAAACTTCTTAGTATTTTTGGGACGGAAGCAGAACGTACATTTCAGTATTTGATGACTACAAGAGGAATTCTGTATGCTATACAAAGTTACCAGAGAGCCCTAGAAGTAAGTTTCAGAGTACATTAATGTCTGTTTAATAGCTTAAATGAAGACCTGCACTCTCAGCATGTTTGTGGATGAAACCAAATTGGGGGAGCAGTCGATACACTTAGAGGGCTAGGCTATTACTCAGAAGAGCCACAAAAGGCTAGAGAAATAGGCTGACAGGAATCCCATGAAATTTAATAAAAGCCAAGATGGGAATGAAATTACCCCATGGCTAGGGGCCAACATGCTATAAAATGGCTTTGCAGAAAAGACTTGGGTGGGCAAGGAACTGAACATTACTCAGCAGTGTAACCCCGCAGAAAAGAAAGCCAGCTGTGTACTATGGAGAAGGTAGCCAGCAGGTTGAGAGAACTCATTAGTCCCCTTCGTCCAGTACTTGTGAGACCACACTTCAAGCACAATATCCAGTTTTTGTACCCACCACCTCTATTAAAAGACGGACATATCCATACTGCAGCAAGTCCCACAGGCAGCTACCAAGATGGTCAAGAGGATGGAGCGCATGATGTGAGAGAAGCTTGCTCAGCTGCAAGAGGAGAAGGCTCAGGAAGATCTTATTGCTGTTGACAACTACCTAACAGCCAGGTGACAAGAAGACACAGCCAGACTCAGCTGTCCACACAGAAGGACAAGAAGGAACACACAAAGCTACAATACAGAGAACTCCAGCTATATAGGAAATAGATTTTTACAATGAGAGCAGTCAAAACAAGCATTCTAGAAAAGACAAACTCTGCATTTACTACCTTTGCTCCTCTCTCAGCAAACGAATTATTTTAGTAGATGAATTAAGCCACAAGTGGTAGGACAAAAGCTTACCTGACAAGCAATTGAGAAGTAAGATTACCTTTTAATTCCTTTGTACGTGTACTTCGAACACTCTGCCTCTACTTGAAGTGCCAGTTCTCGAGTGGGAGCAAGGACTAACATTCCTGGCCCCCCACGCTGATCTTTGGATCTGTAATAAAGCATCTTTAGAATGTGGGTATATAAGGCTAGGCAAAGTCCATCACATCTGCCATCAAATATTTTTACAGTGTTTTAGACTTTCTAAGTACACTGCTATACTAACAGAATCTATGGTGACAACTCTGGTACATATTCCACCAGGTTTATAATTTTTTTTGCCGATTTATGATTTATTATCTTCTTTACTAGTAATCCATGATGGGGGGGTGGAGGTAAGTATCCACAGCTATACAAGTGAGACATGCAAGCAGTCCTTACATTGGTTGTGAAGTCAAGTGAATGAATCCAGGCATTAAGTACGCTAATGTCTTCCCGGTACCAGTCTGCGCTATACCAATAAGATCAATTCCTTGGAGTATGATCGGCCATGCCTGGGACTAACATAAAACAACAGAATAAACTCAAATATAACTTCTTCTTAAGCTTCAGTTAAAGACTCATCAAAATTGAAGAAGTACCTGAATTGGTGTAGGCTTTTGAAAACCAACTTTTCTTATATGAGCCATAAGGTCAGGATAATGCTCAAATACATCTTCAAATTTACATATAGGATTGGGAATGCAACGCTTTTCACCTTCTTTTAAGTCATCACAAATTATGTTATTATTTTCTTTCCTGTATAGAATTAAAAAAGTGCAACTGCTTTAAAGTCTCATTATCTGCAAAAACAGAGCTAAGACAGACGACTGCCTTTCTGACTTTTTAATTTTTTTTAATTCCTGGAACAAGAGAAAACAAGTAAGTCTCATTCAAGAACCTTAACAACTATTCTTCTAACTTTTAAGAAAGCCTTACTACAAAAACTATTCTCCTGGAGGCATCAATTACCATTCCTTCTTAAGAAGGACTCATTTGAAGTTATATATGGATATTAACACGAACTGCAGTCCTATCATATCAGAATTAAATTATACTACAAATTAAATAGCTCTGACAAGTTTTTAAACCTAAAGACAACCTAGAATTCATACGAATGGATTGGACTTCTTTGTCAGAACACTATATTCTGACAAAAGCCTTCCCGAAATATTTTCAGAGCAGCTCCCTGGATAGTCCAGAATATACAAACAGAAGAGTTTACAAAAAAGAATGTGATCAGTAAGACAAGCTCAAAAAAAAATCAACAACCAAACCCCAACAGAACAAAAAAAAGCATAAAAACCAACCAACCAAACCCCCAAACGCTACATTAAAAACTGAAGTTCTGAGGCTCCCTCCAACAAAGAGGTATTAATATGCAGAAGTATTTTATCTTCATTTCAGTCCTGTATTTTTCAAAGATTCCATTCACCAAACAGTTTTACTTCAAGCAGGGTGTGGGCTAGGAAAAGAACAGGTAATTCAACTTCTCCTCACGTTTACAAATTTCTTTTTTTCAATTACTGCTTGTTTCTCCTTAAAGCAAACTGATCAGATGAAAAAAGAAAAACCATTCTTTTACCACACAAGTGCTATTCCACAACACACATTCTGCACCTACAGAGCAATGCTCTGTTGCTCCTGCCTAGCTCTAACAATAACACGTACATATACTCCATGCTTTGCTCACCGTGGCAAGCTTTCTCTGGTGGGCATGCAAGAGAAAAACTAGACAGCATGCAAAAAGAAAAGCAATAACAGGTAACCCTTCAAGAATGTTCACCAACTTAATTAGAACTACTGAAAAGGGTTGAAGCTATTACCACAGCGTGCACAGAATCACTTGAAACAGAAGACCTTTTCTCGCAAAGTAATGATGTAGATTGGTGGATCATAATGATTGGATACAGTTAACTGAGGCATGCACTCACCAGAATGTACTTGTAAAGACAAGATAGATAGACAGATAGGAAGACAACAGTAATAGAAGCTGAAATTTGTTTTGAAGATGGTATTTGACTAAAATATATGGGAAAAAAATGGCAGCCAAGAGGTATTCAACATGTGAACAATATTATTTGGAAGAATCTAGAAAACATGAACATGGTAATGAAATGCAAAGAAACAGCCAAAAGCCAATGGACTGTCTTGATTTTTTTTCCCCTTCTGAAAGTCAACTAGATCAAACACTTTTAGAGAAGTAGTTAATCCCTAAAGTTACTTTTCCAAGCAACTAATAATACCTTATCTGCCAGTTATTGTTTAATCCCTAAGAAAGAGTTCCTAAGAAGAGCTAAGCTATTACAAGACCCTAACATTAATGCTTCTATCTCAGTATTTCATCTCCCACTTTCTGGGCTTTATACCTTAGTAGTTATTTTTTCCAAGCAAGTGATTCCCTATGTAAATGGTCTTACCGCCACAGTTCCACTTCTTCTTGTGACATAGAAGCAGTCCTTGGCGATTCTTTATAGAAGTTTTTCTCAATTGGTGGCAAGTCTTAAACAATCAGAAAAAGTAAACTTGAGTCAGTAAGAAATGCTACAGGTTCAGGGTAAGTCTGCTAAAAGCTCAAGATGGAAACCCCAAAATGCAGACAGTGCCCTGTACTAAGAGACTAGCCAAAAGCACTGGCAGACTATTGTTGTTCATATAAAAGATGAAGGCTGAGACAAACAGTTAAGTATCTGCAAAAGAACCACTTTCCCACATTTCAAGCTCTAAAGTAATTTCTGCTAACACATAGTGTAACTGTTAACAATTCTCAGATCTTTGCTGTGGCCACACACAAAAAACCCAGCATTTTCAAAGGGTGAAGTCAAAATACCAATTGAGTAGTAAGTTTAAGTCTTTACACAGCAACTACAGTGTCCTTCATGACCATGCTGAGAAACATTGACATGGTCACTGCAAATACTTAACTATTTTGGACACTGAAAGATTCAGTCATCTCAAAGAAGAAATTAAAAACGTTTACGCATTCAACAGCTTTACCACATGAAGACAAGTACCACACAATCAAAATTTTAAAACTAACCTGCCCACTTCATAGCTTCATATTTAGCTTTGTTTTCTCGAAGAGAGGCCCAGTCAATCACAGATTTCTTTGGGCTATTTTCAGGCTTGATAATGTCCAATGTTTTTCCTGTAGAGTTAGTAACAAAAGGCTGCTGTTTGATGGAATCTGTTGGAGGGTGGGGGAGAACCTCCCTCAAAACACACACCTTATTGCCTTTTTCTATTGTGAGGCCCCTTATGTGATTCTGAATAGACATGAAGCATTTAAATAGAAAATTCTTTCCTAAGTCTTAGCCTGAAACATCACTGAAATCTGTACAAATGCAGTTCTGATAGAAAATAAGCATTTCAACATCTTTAGGTACTTAAAGAAAGCAATGACAGGTTCCAAAGTGCTACTCCTCCAGCTATAAATAAGCCCTGCTGTGCAACAGGCTTTTCAAAAACTTGTGAACCCAGAAGACAATATGCAGACAGAAAGCTTTATTTCTAAGAGCAAGGTTTATTTCTAATGCATCCAACACCACCACAATGATGTCTTAGCGTAGTTACATTCTACACCCCTTTTTTCGATGCAGTTAACACTTCTGAAGAAAGAAAGGTTTTACACTGAAGATATAAACGGCAACACAATTATGCATCAGCGGAAAAGCAAGAAACACGACAAAAACAGTCACGTGTACTAAGGAAGTGTTAACTGCTGCAAGCCTCTGGAAACACACTCGTCCACCTTCCAGGGCACTTCTAAAATCAAAACTCACAACTACTCCATTTCTTATTCTAACACCAGAACACAACTCTCGGATCCCTTCTTCCTCATCAGTGCCTCATATCAACAACTACGATTGTTGTTCGCCTGTGGAGAGCATCATTTGGAGCACACAGAAGACAAGTACCAGTAACATAAGCAGCATCTCGGCACACAATCATTACTCGTACATTCATGTTACATGTACATTGTAAAGTTAACACAATAAAGCCTAGGAAAGCGAGGCATGATGTGCAACAGCAAATCTTTTATGCATGAAAGTAGCAAGAAGTCAGAATCACCCATGCTATAATCAGTACACTTGCCTTATAGTCAACATTTATAAAAGCTTACTGAATTTTAATACTGCACAGATACTACATTGAAACTTAAATTAGAACCAATACTTGTATTTTGGGGAAATCAACTGATAATGCAAGAAACAAAGTAGTATACCATTCCGCATCATTGAAAACACACAGAAACAGATTTTCACAGAAGTCTGTCAGTTTGGTGGGGGAGGAACTGTTCATAGCTGAGAAATGAGGATGTCTAGATAATTCTGTTTTAAGGAGGTATGCCATTGTCCAAGAACAAGGTGAAAAATAATTCACTTCGGTAAAATGCTAAGAATACAAAAACACTCAAGCAAGCTACAAAATATATGGAAAGACAACGCACAGTCTTATTTCTTTTCTTTCCAAAACCGCATTTCTTACCTTTCTCAGTCCCACCTCTAATGTAGTTTTGTCCAGATCTTGTAACAGCATCATCAATCAACATCTTGGCTTTGTTTTGCACAGCAGCACTGCCAAAAATCTTTACTTCAGCTTCATAGGTTCCCTTTATAACCTATGTTTATAAAACCTTACTGAGTTTTTTTTTAATACTGCAAAGACAATCATTATATAAGAATACGTACTGAAAACCATCTAACCATCTCTGATTTTTTTTTTCCTGAATTTTAACTTCTCTTCCCAGGAAAAGCCCCTTTCTAAAACGGTGGGAAATAAATGCGTATTTAAGGGGAAAAAAAAATCAGTAAGCTTTTCCAACTTTCACATACTAATCAAGTGGCACCCTCAATTCCACTTCCTTTTTATCAATTCTTGTAAAAGAGTAAAATTATTACAGCTATTGCAACACCCTTCAACTTGCTGCACTAACTCTGGCGTACACGCAAAACCAAATGTGTTCCCAACAGAGTCCAGGCCTGGATGACAGACAACACATAGTACCTTTATCCTGGAACCTGAAGAATCCTCAAGTTCTCTTATTTTAGTTCCGCCGCGACCTGTTATAAAGATACACTGCTGGTATTACAGAGCTTTAGGCCAAACTGTGGAAAAACTACACAGGGTAACTGTATTTTGATTGCGACCAAATCCTAGGATTTTCACTTAAGTGCATGTATCCATAAATAAAAGAACTTGCGACCCCAAACTGTTGGAAAATGCAGGCAACTTTTTTGGCAATTAACCAAACACAAGGTGCGTGCGTGGTGGGGAAAGGCACGTCGCTTGAAGAGATGGCACAGCAAAACCAGCTCAAGAGCGAGCCACCCTTCCTCCAGATGCCTCGAGAGGGGCTTCAGCCCTCTTACAGACCCCTGGCCACGAGAAACAGAATCAACCCAACCACTCTGGGGAGGAAAAGCTCAGCTACCCCGGCGAGCGGCAGAGCCCCGCTCTTCAGCCAGCACTCAGCATCCTGCCATCCTCAGACTCGAGAAAGACCTCAGCGGATCACAAGGGGCTGGGACCCTTCCACGGGGCCAGGGAGAGGGAAGGCACCGATGCCCCTTCTTCGGGGCACACACGGGGCCTACACGAACAAACCTCTCCTCGCCCGCGTCCTCCCCTCCTCCCCTACCCGCTTCCCTCAGCG